ACACAAAGGATATAAATAATTCAGTGAAGTTTTCCAGCCAGCCTGCATTTATTTTCCTGTCATCATTTTTTTAAAATAATTCTACCTCCAAGGTTATAAAATTAAAAATACATTTGCAAGCTAGTCATAAAGGAAAATATAGTCATCATGAGAGTCAACTAAAGTTAACCAAATAAGGATTTCTTTTGTGTGTGTGTTTGAGAGGGAGTGAAGTCTTTCTGTGTTCGATAATGATCAAATGACAGTTGGTCATGAGTTAATAATGCTGGTTGATGAAATATGCTGCTCACCATGTGGTACAAAGAACTTCTGTGAGTAAAGAAAACCACAGGCTAGAATTAGACACACACATAATTGAAAGAGTCATATTTTTCATTTACGTGAAAATGTAGTACTCTTTGTTCTGCTGTAATTCCCCGCTTATTGTATTTCACAGTTTTACACCTCTCTGACTGTGTTACCAGTGATACTGGATGACAGAGTGCATTGTCTGAGATGATACGCTGCACTTTGATGGACAAAGCATTCCATCTTGATAATTAATATGATTTAAGACTGCCTGGAAAGCTCTTGCCCCTTTTGCTAGGGCAGCCAAGTCTTGAGATCACAATGGATAAAATTGATTGAGTTTGGCGAAAAGTTCAAAGTTTTCATGGTTAGAATTTCACGACAAATAAAAAACATTCTAAATATATATCGTGCTTGTGAGCTGCAGAATGTCACATGTTTTTATTAATTAAAAATATATGAAAAGGGTCAAATTTATCCTCGAATTATTCTCACACAGCTGAGCCAGTTTAAAAACAGACAGGGTACAATGGAGCTTGAAGACATGCTAAAAGATACCCAGCAGGCACATGTCTTTCTGTGCCAGTGGCATCCCAGTACAGCACTGGCACAGAAAGACATGTGCCTGCTGGGCATCTTTTACAGCATCCCAGTGGTGCTATCAGGTGTACATTGCTGTGATTGCTTGTGCTCCACTCATTCACAACTCCATTAGCCTTCGCTTCATCTCATCCTTATCAGTGGTTGGTGTGCTGGGTTCTTCTGTTCTCTAGTGTCATTTCACTTCATTGTTTTCTGGGAGCAATCCTGCATAATTCAATTATTTAAAACCCACAAATTTATATTCTGTGAATGTAGGAGTCTAAAAATATGCAGAGTTTACAGAGTAACATTTTTCATTTGGTAAAATATAGGTCTCTGTTGATTTAGAGGACACTACATAATTACATAAGATTTAAAAAAAATAGAACAGTTGCTATTTTAGAAGGGGATTTAGAGGCGTAGAGCATTATTTCAGTGACGAACGTATCATTTATTCATCGTGTATGTTTTTTTTTTCCTTCTGTGCTTTGCAGTGCCATCTGCTGTATCCAGCAGTATTGAATCGCACAGAGTGAAAATAAGGGGATTGATTTTCCATATTCCAAATACAGATGGTGCAGTGTGTACAGTTTAGTCAGCTTTGGAAAGAGAGAACTGTTTTCATAATTTCACATGTAATGTTCTTATGTGATATTCTTCATTAAAGTATTTCATCTCTGCATACGGTGTTGGAAAACATGTGAGCAAATCTGCAAAAAGCAAACAACAGTAAAAAGCTGTAAAATCTTTTACTTCGGCTTTGACTGATCCTGGTGTAAAGTCTTAGCTGAGTAACGGGGGTTAATTTGTGCCAGTTGGGGTAATTTAACACTTGACTCAAAGAACATCTGCCGGGTGTGACTGATTCCCCCATGCAGAAATTGTTAGTAGATCACACGTCTTCTGTAAATACGCAAAGCAAAGCCAGTAATTTAGAAACATTGTTCAATTATAATAATGCTTCAATGGCTTCTCTAGTAATGCGACCTATTGTACTTTTCCTTGAACTCAGAACTGTATCTCAAATGTAAACTAAAGGAAGGACTAATCCCATAACCTCTTGATTTCTTTATCTGTATTTAAAATACAGTTTGTCTTAATTTCTGTGTGGTGCCTTTTTTCATTTTTTCTGAAGTCTGGATGCATTTGTTCTAAATTATTATGAGACCTTGTATTTAAACATAGTCATACATTTTGAAGTCTGTTCTACTGTATTAAACATTTTGTTGTCAGAGCTGTCTTCTGTAGTTGCTCTCTTTTCACATTGTCGTTACCACAGCACTAGCAATATACAGTGCAGAGTAATTGCCGTGAAAATGGAGAGTACGGCATTGCCATACATTGCATTAGTGAGTGAATGGAAAATGTGAGTAATGGAGTCAGAACTATTTCAGCAATGTCTTGTTCATATCCTTGTTCAGAGCTCTTGTTTAAATGCACAGCTTGAGTTTTCTGTGAGTGTGAATCACATTTGTGAGCTTCAAGTTGAGGATTGTTTTTTTTTTTGGCAAGAGGAAATGCAATAACTGTACATAGCAACACAGAGGTATAAAACATAATTCTTCTCATAGTGGATATTGTCTTTTAAAGTTTTTTTTTCATTTGATTCAATTTCCTGACAGCCTTCCGTGTAGATTTAGAGTTCTGCCTTTCCAGATTCTGGCAAAGTCCAGAGGTGGATTTTAAACTTAAGACATTTCCCCCACAAAAACTGCACACGGAAGGGGAAATGTTTTATATGTATTGAGTGACAGTAAGACAGTTTCTTTTTTTTCCCTGCTAAATCTTTCTAACCTTTGATAAGTAAAGTGCTGCATCATTGTTAAGCCCTTAAAGTAATGCATTTGCTGTCAGGGAACGTGAAGAAATAAATTACATGTGGAAAAACCTGAATAACAATTGCTCAATTGTTCTTTACAAAAGCAACAGCACAAAATAACAGACTTAATTTAACTGTTTACATAGTTTGCTGCATTATCTAGCTAGTGATTACATTTCCAGTTGGCATTCTTAAGATGGTTTCATAACCATTTCTTACGAAGAGCTAGCTTCCTTGTGGTTGTTTGTCTTCCATAAGTAGTACAGTGACGCAGCTCCAGTGTGACTGTGCTCTGGTGCTCACCAAGCCCAGAAAGTAGGTCCAGCTAAAGTTGGTCAATTGAAGGCACGAGGGTCACTGGCAGCCTGGTAGCTGAATTCCACTGTCTCCCGCCCAGCCCCTTCATTCTACCATTATTTGCCAGTCACTAATCTGTTTATGTGTGAGTAATGGAGTGCTGTGGAGACCTAAAAGAAATCATAAACTGAGACCAGAAAGCCAAACTGTTCACACAGTCTGAGGCGCCAAATGCCTCTAAAATGGAGTGCTGCTCTGGATTGTCACACATCATGCCCCACTTGTTACAGGCTCCAGCAAGGACTGGGTAACGTTTTTAGTTGGGGGGTTTTTGAGTGGACTTTGAAGTTTTTTTTTTCCTTTCTTTGCCAAGAATTTTAATTGATAAATTGGAACGTGTTTAGATGATGCATTTATCCAAAGCAATTTACATTTGGATCCATTTACACAGCTGGGTGATTTACTGAAGCAGTTCCTGTGAAGTGCCTTGCTCAAGGTTACAACATCACTGTCCTGTTTGGGACTTGAACCAACAACCTTCCAATTCAGAGTCTCAAGTCTTAACCACTGCACCACACTGCTGCATTCAGATGTATGTTTGGAAACGTTTAATATAATGCTTGAACAGTTATATGTTTTATTTAGGGACACTTTATTTAGCATGTATTTGTATATCGCATTGCAATAAACAGGATACTAGCCATTTAAAATCTATATGTGCAGAAATGTGGAAACAGTTCAGATTTATTGCATAGTAAAACAAAGTAGAATAGAAGTTAATGTACTTCAGTTGTCATGAGTAATTTGTTAGTCATGAGTTTGGAATGTAAATTGTTATAAGGCTTGTAGTGTTGAAAAAAAGAAGTATTAATCTTCTGGACAAACACAACTGATATTTGAGAAACAAGCTTTTTATTTCCAAATATGTCTCTCTACCCCTTGTGAGGTCTGTGGTTTTATTCTGAGGCCTGAACAAACGTGTTTGTTACAGTGCTGCATGAAGAAAAAAATAACCTTGTGGTTGCCAAGGTGATAACATGTAGTAAATGTTTTCTTAGTAAAACTGTTTAATTCTGTTTGCCATTTTGTGCTTCTGGCTGAAAGATCATGAGGGAAAATGCCATGCTGTCACAATAGATTTTGCTTTCTGTAATTACTTCATCTCTTATTTTAAAAGATGATTATATTTTGATTTAAACTACAATGGAAATATGATCTGGCAAAATAGGTATTACCCGTGGGCTTGCTATAACCTTGGATATGATTTAATTATCACTCTGCATGTCATGTTACTTTGAATCTCCTCATTGAAATTATTAGATTCGATTTCTGCCATTCCGTTCTGGTATAAATGGGTTATCTGACTTTTTTTTTCATATGGCCAGACTGTCTGTGCAGGTGGCATATAGATATTGCCGTTCCAAAAATGTGATTTCGCTGATTGTTTAATAACACACAGCGGACAGAACGAAGCAGTTAACAGGCTGATTGCTTCTCCATTTAATTGACCTGACAACTGAATCATTAGGGATACATTGCCCTTTTGTTTGGACAAACGTTAGTCTTTGCAGGCTTTTTTTTTTTCCAAGGAAGTTTAAGATCTTATCAGACAGTTAAACAAGGGAACATTGTATTGCAGTGTGGGATGTAATCTTATAATGTGCCAGTCCATGTGTTTTAATTGTAATGTAATACTAGTGATAATAGCCCACATTTGGGTTTTCAATCAGTAATTCATTACACCACAAATAGAGTGCTTGTTATTCATCACTGGAGTATATTTACAGTTCCCAACATATGGTGGTAAACATTGCATTTTCCTTACGTTCTGAATACAGTTTTTTAATTGGCTTTTGAACACATTTTTGCCTGTTGGAATGAACCAAAATGATTGCCTTTTTATGTACTGTATATGCGCTGGCACTCTGTCAAGCGTGCCATACTTGGTAGCCAAGGTGGCGCAAATCCCACTGGCGCAGCGGCGTCTGAGCCGCCTCCTCTCCCTGCGTTTCAGCCCCGAACCTCAAAGGCAGGCCCCGCAAGAAGAAGCCCTCGACGTCCCAGCGCCGCGACTCCCAGGTGCTGAACGGTGTGAGGGAGTCCAGCAGCGCGGGAGAGGGGAAGGCCTCTGCCAAGGTACACCACTATTCACGAGCTTCCCTTCTCCCCACACGCCGCCTTCCAGTCCTCTGCCGTTTCCATGCCTGGCCTGGGACTCGGGTTGTGCTTGGATGAAATTTCGGAATTAATGTTAACATCAAATATTTAAAATATCCCGGTAATTATTTCCTGTTATTATGGTGACCTCTGTTCCGCATAATGTACGATTTATCCATTACAGGAAAAGGTATTGCATAAAATACCTCCTCCTGTTTTTTTTTTTTCTTTTTCCAAGAGGCAGAAAGTCGACTTCCTTGTGATCTAAGCTATCCGTAACTGAGCTTAAGATCTTGGTGTTACCATGTAGGAGCATGGAAAAATGAACATGACTCACATGCAATGTTCAATAGAAAACAATGTAATTAAAAATCCAAGAAGGTCATAAAAATACCGTTGGCCACCTTTTCCTTTTGTTGCGTTATGTGATTGGAAGATGCACATTGTTAACGTGTCATGCTGAACACTGCATTTCTCTGAACATACAAGAACAAAAGAAAGGTTACAAACGAGACCAGGGCATTTTGCCCATTTAGCCTGTTTTGGATGGTAGTACCTCTGTAACCTGAGTGTCTCACCCAGCCACTTCTTGAAAGAACCCAAGGTATCGGTTTGTTCCATTCTCCCACAACCCTTTGTGTAAAAGGGTTTAAGCCCTGGAATGTATCCGAGTGCATTTCTCTGGACTAATTATAGAACAGAGCAGAGCAGAGCTCTGGAATGCTAGTCTGCATTCCACTCAGATGCATGTGTTCCACCTACTGGCAGACACTCAGGTAACAGGTTACATTTTTGACTGAAAAGCCACGTTAACCTGTTGTCTTTTTTTATGGAAGAGCTTTTGTGTGCATTTTTGTTGCCTCTTTTCTCATCTACCCAAACGGTCTTTAATTCCAGGTAAAAACTGAATCTAAGGCAGTTGTGGCCAAACCCAAAAATAGCAGTAACTGTAAAAAAGTGGCAGCCGAGGAAAAGCCTCAGCTTGGGGCAGGTGAGGAGTGCAGAGCTGATGAGCAGGCTTTCCTTGTAGCTCTGTACAAATACATGAAAGAAAGGAAAACACCCATTGAGCGGATACCATACCTTGGTTTCAAGCAGAGTAAGTAGAAGCAACTATTTACTATATACAATACCAGCATCAAATCTGAGCTGTCTGCAGGGGGTAATGTCTATAACCTTGGTTCAAGTTTTGTGTTCTAAGGCATTATTATGAAAGCTGACAAAACCTGGAAAAGTGGGCATGGTATATTGATCTCCAGATTTTTCAACTCTGTAAGATGGGTGTTCTTTACCATTGCAATCTCTCGTACAAAACCTACTTTTGTTCTTAAATAGGTCAGTGTAGAAAAACTAAATGAATGTTGCCCATCTGACTCCATGGCACAAGGAGGCCTCAGCCAAAGCTAATTACTTCAGCATCAATGCCTCCAATGACAATATGGAGAGACCTTTTTGTTCTGAGGGGTGTCAGAAACAGCCGTCTGAATCTACTGAAAATATGAAAAGAATGTTTCTTCCCAGATTGTATTCACATCTTCCTTTGTGTACTAAAATACATCTGAAGTAACAGAACAGAGCTGCTTACGGGAATAGATATTGCAACTGTTGGCGACAAGAAGCTGTAAGGAAAAATGAATCACTTTGTTTTGTACCTCACTAACAGTAATCCATGTTTTAGCAATTTGTATCCTAATATTACGGCACACTTCGTTTGTTGTACCAGCTGCTTTGTTGTTATGTTGGCCATGGGGTCCATTTAGTTATATTTTCCATCCTGCTGAGAGCTTTAAAAGCTACTAGATTTCTACAGGGCAGAAACAAAAAGACAGTTAGTCAAAATGGACATGATTGCCTGTCCGGAAGCATGTTGTGTTTTTCTCTCCCAGGAGTAACACAACATCTAGATCCAATAAGCCCTCAACTAGGAATATTATAGAGTACTTGTGAGACATCACAGTTAAAATGTACTTGTGAGACAACACACTTAAAATATTAATTGTCTGGCATTCAGTTCAATAAATAGGAATGCCTACAGTTACTCTTTAGCAGTGTCCTTGTGAAGAGACGATGACATTTGTTATATTGGCATCTTGCTCTGACACCCTTCTCAGAGTTACAGATATTGAAAATATTTATTGCCCACATTGGAGGTGCCTGGGTCAGATGTGTGCATGTCTGCAATAATGCTTTTTTAGAACAAGAAGCTGAACAGGACAAGGAAATATACAGGATTTGATCATTCTAACAAAATAGTACTACAGCAATCACTGTTAATGCAAACCTTAAAAGTGTTAAGTCCTATATGATTTAGCTGAATCCCTGAAGTCATTCACCATGGTAAAAAATAACTCCCTTCGTTATTCCTGTGGTATATTTGTAACAAGAGAAAAAAAATCAATACAGGCTTATATGTGGATAAGAAAATGTCATTTTGAAAAATACAAGGCTTTGTGTTTGTGTGGTGATTGACTCTTGATTGATTACCTTTTGTAGAGCCTGTATAATTTATTGGCAGACATTTGAAAACTTAACACAATCATTTTGAATTAAAAAAAATACCATTTCGTTGTTTCTTCAATTCTGAATGCCCATTAATCTGACAACTGTGTGGGAAAATGAAATGTCAGGAGTAAAGTGACTTAACTATGACAGTAAAATGTTAACAGACAATAGTTTTATAACAAGGTACTAAATAGTTTCTAAAGAATATTCTGTATTGTGTAGGTGACTGATTGTTTGGTATTGTATTGTTGATCTAAATGCTTATTGTCCCTCTAACAGTAAACCTTTGGACTATGTTTCAAGCTGCTCAGAAACTAGGAGGATATGAACTGGTAAGTACTTAATTTTATTGCCATTCAGTTCTCTAACGTTAATGTTTTCCTTTAGGTTTTTAATATTTAACAATAGCAGAATCAGTGTCCTATTTTAGACTTGCTGTCAGATTTGTGTTTACTAGACAAAGCTTGGATGAAGCTTCCCCTTAGATCTGCATTTGGCAAAACGACGCAGTTGTTGTAAAATCTACAAGTGGAAAACATATGTAACTCTTTTCTGTCAAGGAAATTAGTAGACTCTGTAATTTTTTCCCATGTTGAGACTCAGAAGGGACTATTACTGTACAACAAGCCAACAGCACAATAAAGAAATTTCACTTGGCAGCGTACCTGACATCTGTTCATTTCCAATATGGGGGGAAAAAAGTATTTAAGACTTTCAATTTAATCAGTTAAGGCCATTAAGATATTGTAAATTATTCTGCCTTTGTTAATTAGTTTTGTAAAAAGAAAGAGAGAGTGCTAGCCAAGTTGTTTACGCTGTGAATAAACAGGAAGTTATTCATGATATTTCAAAGGTTTCTTTCAAGCTTTCTATCTGCTGGTTTTATCAGGTAGTTTAGCCTACTTCTTTGTGTACAGGAAGCAGAGTGGTTTGCATGTGTACTGTACAGAAATTATTCAAAATGCAGTTATGAGTTGCAAGTTACCATTAAAATCATCCATTTCTCTGCCTACTTTCAAACGGTTAAAAGCAGATGACATCTGTAATAAAAATCAGTTTACACAGGAAGATGATGTCACTGGAAATATTTACATTGCACACAATGATCAGATTAAGCTCCACAGCTAGCATAGTAGTTCGTCAAACAATACTTTATATTCTAGCCAAAAGTCAACTTTAAGCCTTACTTACAGATAGTAGCAACATGAAAGCAAACAGCATTGGAGTAAAAGTAGAGCCCAGGAATTAGGATCTGTGCCACAAGCTGAAGTAAATGAATTCTATGCATATGAGTTCATATTTTGACCAAAACCAAATTCAAATCCGTAGAATGTAAGTAATAAAGTGAAAGGTTACACTATAAACAAGGTATCAAGTGGTTTTACTCAACTGCTTGAGAAGGGTGACGTAGGCTGTTTATACAAAGGCACCTTAAAACCTTTGACATCTAAAAATGACACCCTAATTGCCCCATTTCTAGAATGTTTTTTTCTTTCACTTCTCATACTGTGATTGTATGCTAACAGTTCTGCAGATAGCGTTCTGTTTCTACATTTGTAATTTAAATCAGATCTTTGTGGATAGATTTGTGAGAGCTCTTTCTAAAGCTTTCATCTCCAACCAGTCAAACAGCACATAAAACAGCACTTCAGCGGCATCTCCAGCTGAAAGCTACTGTTTTCACACTTTTCCAGATCAAGGTTGTTATTAATTGGGAGACTTTAAGGTTTTAACTCAGTAACCTCTGGCTTTTCAGTGCCAGTTGGATGCTGGGCAAGAACACCATCCATTAAAATGTATGGACCATCCCATTGGTTTCATCAGGAGAGCTCCTGCATGCCTTTCAGGGGTCCAGCCCTTCCTGTAATTCTGAAATTTGACAAACCCTGTACTGTAAAATGTCACCCATTTGTCCTCGTCTGAAGGGTACTGCAGTGTTAGCACGCAGTCTGATAAAACATTTCTCATGTATTCAAAATTTTCCATTTTAAATTGTAATTTTTCACTTTTACAGTTTCAAAACAGTAGCTGTCAGTTCAGTCAGTTTTTATTCCTTTTTTGTTCATGTTGCACGTTATTTTGTTAGTTAAGAGGTTTTGGGCATTTCCCAGCCCATATTCCCATTGGAGCATATCAAATGGTGTAGCAGAACTGCATCTCTCAGATTGCATTTTGGAAGAAGTAACTTACTTTTTATATAAAGTTGATTTCAATGCTTATTTGTTTAATAACAATTCCTTGCATCTATATACAGTGGGTCTCTTCCCAAAAAGCACTTTACATACAGGGGGTGGCCCACTTATTGTACTGCTTATCTGGGGTGCTTGTTACTTTTGAGTTCTGCAAAGACCGTGTAGCACTGATGCAAATATTGGAGTGTCATCACAGATCACCCTTGCATCATTGTCCAATTAAAAGGCATTAGCTTTAATTTCCACAGTGGCCTGCTGCTGCTGTGTCAGATGTACAAGAGCTGTTCAAGGATTGGCTGCTGTAAAGATTTTTGGGGGGGCCTCTTTTTGAATACATGGACATCAGCAATGGCTATAGGTCATCAGGGACACAGGTCACAAGGCCCAGAAATAGAAGGCAGGCCAAACTGGAACTCCTCTTCACAGTTATGGCCTTTCTGTTTTCCTGTCTACCTAATCCCAGGTGTCCACTCTCTCTTCCCAGATCACAGCCCGCCGCCAGTGGAAAAACGTGTACGATGAGCTTGGCGGCAACCCTGGGAGCACCAGCGCAGCCACCTGCACACGCCGGCATTACGAACGGTACGGCCCTCCATTTCCCTGTTTGCGAACCATCTGGGATTGGGGACCCACTGTTTCTTCTGTGCTGGGTGTGCTTGGTAATCAGACAGAGGAAACGATCAGCGTCAGGCAGCAACATAATGTCAGGCCTGGGCCTACTAGCGTTTGTAAGTAGGGCTACAGGTTCCTCAGTTGCAGTGGGAATGGCTAAGGCAGTTGTTAAAAGCTTGGCTGGCCAGGTTCTCCACTGGTTAGATGGGGGTCTGTGGCAGGACGGGGACTGTAAAGCAAAGCAGATTAGCTCTGGCAGGTGGGAACAGTTCAGAGGCCAAGGAAGCACGTGGTCTTGTTTTGGATGTAGTCTTGGCGGATGGTAGCTTGTCATCTCAGCAGGCTCATACCTCGTCCTGCATCATTTAAAAAAACGATTCGGTTCTCGGCACGTGAAATAATATCGTGCGGAGTAAGGCAAAGAGAACTGTGACTCTGAATGGATGGTTTGCTGATGCTTTTCAGTTTTGCAGCCGCAAGTGTAATTAATGAAATTAATTGGTGCTCTGAATGAAGCTGTTCTTTCCTTCAGTTGAGGGTGAAATATGAAGCAGCCCGTGGTGAACTAGTCTATTCTTTCAGTCCCCAGTTGGATCTTTGCTTTCACATTGCAGGATGAGCAATGGTTCTGCCTAAAGTCTCCAGTTGAGTTTTAAACTGCGATTCCTTGTTATGGAGTTTCACTGACAACATAGCCATCGCAGATCGGAATATTAATTGTTCAGTTCCAGCCTGTTAAAGACAAAAGATTTTTTTGATCTTTGTTAAAAAAAGGTGCCCGTGGCCAGTCAATATGTTTTTCCTGGCGAAAGATAAATTGGTGTTTCGAGTCAATCTTTCACAATGGAATAAATAAAAAAAATAAGCTGTAATAAAAATGTTTTGACCTTCTCATAATCCCTCTAATTCTTTGAAGGTGCCCATTTTTTTAAAACAGATTTTCCATTCTGGATATCCTACAGAGATGTCCTGTTTTGCAGCTTCCAGTCTCATAACGTTATTGTAAAGTTTCTTGGTGTGGTATATTTTTATTGTGGCTTAATTAGAAATCTTAATAGTGGCACAGAAGTTAGTGGTGCTGTCTCAGAGCCCCTGAGTTCTGGGTTTGATTGTAGATGGGAATCTTCTGTGTGGAGTTTGCACGTTCTCATCCAGGTTTGGTTTTGTTCCTGCTGTAGTAGGTTGATTGCCCTGTCCAAATTGCCCCCTGTATGTGTGTGTAAGTGCATGCCCATGTCTGTGCCATGTGATGGACTGGCCAGGTGCATTCTGCCTTGCTCCTATTGCCTGCGGTGTTAGGCTCTGGCTAACCACAGCCCTATATTGAAGTTAGCAGTTACTGAAGATGGATGGATATATGGAAAGGTGAATCTGAAATTCAAAATGAGAAAACTGTTATATTCCCCCAAATATTGCTCATGGGAACACTGATGCATTAATGTAGATAAGACAGAGAAAGAAATGATTAATGCAAGTGACTTTTCTGTGGTTCTTCTGCCTAAGCAATTCTATTTCACTGTTCTTTCTACCAAGAATGGGAGTCAGTAACTAACGTGTACAATATGCCAAACTCCATCCTGTAAGTGCTTATTAAAAAATGTATTTAAGTGGTTCCCAAGATTAGCTATCAGCTGTAATGCTTAGATTAAAAAATTAGGTCATAAAAAATTACATTAATAACCTTGAAACAGACTGCAATTTCTTTCTCCTCCATTTCACACTGCTTTTTTTAATTATATAGGTCAATGCCATTGATCAACTGTGACCCTGGTATTTATTTAATCTTATAGTTTACCGAGAGCTTTCTGTTCTAGAAATATTCAGATTAAAATACTGTTCTACAGATAACAGTCCGCAGGTCTTATTGTGTACTTTATATCGTTTTAAAAATATGCGTGCTTTTTATGTACATAATTACATAAAAGATCCATGGCAACAGTGTAATTTATAACAGTTTCCATTCTGTGTGGGGAGCACTTTGTTCCCATTGCTGGAGAATGTAATATTTCACAGAAACTGGTGAAGCCCACAGACCTCAATTAAAGTTCTCTTTAAATTGCTATCAAATAGGTATTTTTGTGAAGAATTCAAAGGATAGCTTTATTTAACGTTTAGCTGATAAAGTAAAAAAGCTCTGTACTGTGAAATATACTTACAACAAGGAATTGAATTTCAGAAAAAACAGGCACATCAATTCTTCATAGTGCTTTATTGATTTTTTTTTTTATTCTCATCTGAATTAATGTTTGCCCTAAATTCAGATAAGGTATGGTTCAGTGAATGTATCTTTTAACCTATGGTGAGTAAGGCAGACTTTAATGTAGGGTATCTGAGTGTATTTTAATGATCTAGTGCAGAACCACTGCTCTTAAACTGCGTATTAAATCAACTGTTCTTTTCCCCTGGAGATTAATTCCTTATTCACCATTGCTACTGCAGTAAAACACAAAGGGGGAAAAATGTTTGTTTAGCAGATTTTAGATGCCAGGCATTTCATGTTATTGAAAAATATTTGAATATTTTGAAAAGCAATTTAGCTTTTTATGTAATGTCTATTATTATTCATGTATTTCACCATAAAATTAATGGTTCAAGGTAATTTCAATTGTTTTGTGGGCGTTATAAATAGAAAAACATACTTAAGTGAATCTCTGATTTGTCTAATGACTTTGTCACCTTAATTAGCATAAATAATTACATCCTCATGTGTCCTGCTAAGCTGTTGCTGTTTCCATTCTTTGACAGCAGAAAAGCGCCTGTTCTAATGGCTTAAGTTGGAGATGATTAGCAGTACAAGAATTTTAACGTATCGCAATTAGACAACTGCTGTTAGGTGTTTTGTCTGGGCTGTCTGCAGTTTGCCTTGCCCGACTCTCATCTTTATTCCATTTTTTATTCTGCTTAGATCAATATGCTAAACCAGTTAATCCTACTCTCTCAAGCAGATATTTTGCTCATCTGCCACAAATGCGTAAATGGAGTTTCCTATGTGTCTCAACCAGTAAGGGCACTCACCCAAGTCCAGGTGGAGCTCTGTGGTCACGGGTTCAAGCCTGGGTCATGTTGCTAGCTGACTATGCCCAAGAGTCCCTGAGATGTAGCACACAATTGGTTGAATGGCGGGAAAAGGGTAGAGTGGGATCAGTTGGGTTGGGTTCTCTCGACTCTCCACGACCCCTGACGTCTCCCGGGCAGGTGGTGTGTAGGTGAGTGACAGGTGCCTTGTCCAATCAGCTCTGTGCTTTGCCACTGACATGTCAGAAGAGGAGGGGCTAGTATGTGGGCGGAGTCAGAATCCACCTACACTTCCTCATTCTCCCCTGTGTGGTCTTGGGGTTCATGGCTGCAAGCAGAAAACACAATAGTAATTGGCGGTTTCAAATTTAAAAATTTAAAAATTAGAATTAAAAAACTATGTGTGACCTGTGTTACTCTAGAGGAAGGCACCACAGCTGTCTTTTCACTTTTCAGCATGGAATTGATTAATGGAAATAATTAACCTCTCTATATTCAGTTAGAAAGGTTCCACTTCCTTCTTGTTGCTTCCAGTATTTGCTTACCTAATCTGAAGATGATGACTTTTCTTCAGAATTTAGTTTTGGATCACGGAGATCCAAACGCGGAGACACGGAAATGGTGTAGTTTCATGTACGACTTGTGCCACTGGCATGTGTCTTCAGCAAAATCAGGGTCTTTGTTTGTATTGCACTAAAAAATGTTCCTAAGGACTTGGCAGAAAGACAGAAGCTTTGAATTTTATGTGTTTTTAAAATCATTGTTAAGAAAATTGGCACAAATAGAGACTAAATCAAACAGCAAATTCTGCCTATAAAACTGTGAAGAGAGCATTACATAGGGCATTATTAAATACAAAAATGCAGCACTTGCAGCAAATTATTCAACACTTTCAATAATTAAAGTTTCCTGTTCAGACATTAATGGGTTTTAGCCTTTGGGGATCAGTGAAGTAATTTTAGGCCTAAAAAGTCAGGCATGACAGAAGGCGTAGTTTGGCATTCCTTAAAAGCCGTGTTTAACTGCGTGAATCAGAATTAGTTCAAGGGTTGACTTCTTGACTAAACCTTTGAGAGAGCTACCACAGCCTAATGCTGAAGGACCATGTTTTTTAGTGAGTGTCTGAGAGAGAGAGTGGTTCTTTTTTTTTCCGGCAGCTCCATTGCTAAAGAGAGATCTTGGATTTAAAGGGACTATATTATCTTAATTATAACCATGCTAGTTGAAATCATGACTTTCCAGAAGTGAGAATTGAAATCTTGTTTTGGCTTTCACCGTAAGCTACAGCAGGTAGCCCGAGGCTCTATGTCTGCTGCAGCTTCCATCGTGTCCTGATACAGTTGTTTGTTTAAAATTCATTTAGCATCAAAAACCTGCTGGACTGCAATCTACAAGTGGTTCCCTCCTGCCGCCTCCCATTGTCCCTTGCTTTTATTGCTGCTTGGCAGTAATTTAAGCCGTCAGGAACCCACATTTTAGAAACCTCTCATTCACTGGCCCCCTAAATTGAAATATTGGCTGGAATATGGGGAAAGAGGCAACTCAAGAATTTCTGCTGAGAAGCAATGCGTTTATACAAATTGTGAAACTACATGTCGGAGGATATGTGTAAAACAAGTGTAACAAGTGTAGTATGGAAAAGAAAATGTAGTACTGTAATTTAACGATACAATAATAACTAATAAACAATCACAGGCTGTTCAGGGTATTAAATGTTTTGGTTACCTGTTCTTACAGTGGGCTGTGTGCCCTCTAGTGACCATGAAGAGTAATTGCATATTGTTATTATTATTTGTGATTTTTGTTGTTGTTGTTTTATGACTTTGCAGTTTTGTTTGCTACAGAAAAGCTTGCATTACTTGGTGATGATGACTTACAGAGGCTGGTGACTGAGACAGAACTGCTTTCATGGTAGAGAGGATTTGTGAGTGTGTGTTGCTGTTAATGCTAGACCAGGCTGAGACAGCCATGCTTGTATCACAAGTGATCTGGGCCACGGTCCAATCACAGTACTCCAATGTGTGAATATGGAGAGGAGTTCAATAGCAGAATCTGAAGGAAATGCATTGTTATCATGATCTAAAACTTCAGACCAAGATAAAATGTCTCTGTTACTTTCGAGAAGTAAAGTACAACTGTGGTATTACAGGTACCTTATTTTTTAACTTTTTGCTTTTGCCACATTTGTTTTCATTTGCCATGTGCTTTTCATCCAGTGTGAGTTTTTTAAAAAATCAGCTTGTTTGACTGTTACTCTGGACAAAGCAAAACAATTGGATGTTTAATTTAACTGCTGAAGGAGGGCTGAGTGTATTTTTTTAATAGGAGAACATTATCTACTGTAGGTAACATTTCTGAGACATTTAGTAACACGGGCATAAAATGTAAAAAAAAAGTCAATCACCACCCTATTTTTTTTCTGTTTATGTACAGTATAACCATACAGTCATGCACAAATGAAGGTTTACGTGCAGATAAATACTGTATAAATACTGTATACCCCAGTGCTTATAGAGAATGTTTTTCTGTCCACTTCCTCAGTGGTGGTGAGGTTGTGGTTAAGAGCTGATGTTAATAAAGAATCACAGGCTCCGGAGCCCAGCCGTTACTTTGTTTCTGTAAAAAGGGCTTGAGAATGGAAAGCATCATTTATCTAAATGAGGCCCGGCTTCCTTGATTCAGTAGTAATGATGGTTTTCCAGGATATTGTGAAATGTGTTTGTGAGGCTCTCTGAAATGAAGCTGTGTGGTGCCTTGAATAAAGTTTCCACTGCCCTTTTAGGGAATTACAGTTTACATAAACTGTTTTTTTTTTCTTATTGGAAATGAAATGAAAACATTTATTTATATTGGGTCGCTTTACAGTGCTGTTAATACATGCATTGCTTTTTTTCCATTCTACTTTATATTTTATAGGCTCAGAATAACCTGCCGCTCTTTGTGTAATTATTATGTTCTTTGAGTAAGATTATATAAAGAGCTATGTGCTGAATACTTATTATGAAAATTAATGTTATATAAGATTAGGCTTAGAAGCACTGTTGAAGCAGACACTGCAAAAGAATCTTATTACACACTCAGCAGCACTCCCAGTGGAATAACGTAGCAAAGACCTTAGCACAGATACAGAATGTGCACAGAAGAATTTCAATTCCCCTTCGTTTTGGAGCCATGCATCTGTCTTTTGAACAATGCCCTTATCCTTTGAGAACAAAGATAAAAAAACAAATGTGTAACATTTGTAAGTTTTCCAACTTTCCTCCCTGTTTTCTCATTTTAGAAAATAATTACTAGTAAACAAAATTACATACAGGAGATTCTTATTTTAAATATTTCATTGAATAAGTACTTGCTTCCTAAATGATAAAGTTATTGACCATGAATTAATTCATCTTGATTTCTCTCATTTGCACTGTGGAGTACTATTCAGCTCTGTGGATGGTATGGTGTGGGAAGAACATAGTATTTGTAAATAGAAATATTATACATTGAAACATGGTAGTCTTTTTTTCCCTTGGGTTAGTGGGCAGTGGCACAATGAGAACATTAAAAATGCCAAATGTAGAAAAAGAATAATAAAAGAAGCAATATAATGCACATTTGTTGTATGCTTCAGGAGAGATTTATTACCCCCATATGTCAATTAAATTACTGTGTACAATGCTTTGGTCTGCTCTGAATGTCATATGGTCAGTGATGATCTTTGACCAGCAGGCCAGGAGTCACTCTGACCCTGCTGACACCCAGATGACACTTAGCCACTGTGGATTAAATTGACTTGGTGTATTTTTCCTCAGTCTGTTTGGTGACTGGTTTTCAATTTTAACATTCACATTCTCCCTTATTTTAAGAAAGTCATTGTCTCAAAAGCAGTGACTATGTTACCCCAATCCTCAGCTCTAAAATCCTCTGTGTGTTTTCGATGCTGATTTTGCAGTGAACTCTGTAATTGTGAATGCAGTAGTATTAGGCACCGCCTAGTTAAATTTCACAGCTGCAGCTGTGCATGCAGACTGTGGGCCATAGTGAAACACAACCCCCAGTGGTTACTGAGACACTTCTGTAAATAAGTGCATACATCCTGTAATAGAACTTTTATCTGAGCTTGACGCCAAGTTTCTTCATTAAAAAAAAATGTAAGAGCTAATATTGAGTTGCAAAAACAAAAGTGGACCTTTATTACATAACTTTTAAATCTGGGACAAAGACACCTTGTAAGTCTTTTTATGGTCCTGATATTTCTGTAGAAGTCATTTGGTTTTTTTCAGGGAGCTTGTACACGCACAACAGAGGCTCTGTCAGATTGTATTTTAAGTAATATTAAAGCTAAAAATATTTATTTGCTTAAAGGACTCAAAGGAGATTGGTGTGTCTGCATCCAGCTACGAATCTGTATATATGTTTTTGTTGTATTTTATGCTTGAACTGCCCTTTATGTGTATCATTTCCAAATGTTCTTGAGTTAAAACATTCTATTCAATAAGTATAAGATGTTTGGTTTATTATAAAAAAAAATCAGGATCGTTTTCAGAGGTTACCTTTGCCGTCCAGAAAATAATCAAAGTATTGGGATGGCAAAATCAAAGCTGTTATACTTCCTCTTCCAGAAGTGCTCACAAATGCCCAGGTCATGATATTACCTCAGTACAAAGATGATCCAAGAGAGAACTGGAACCAAAGAAACAAAAAGGACAGATGAAACCTTGATAAACTTTTAACTAAGTCATGGACGTATGTTAAACATATCCTGGCTTGGGCACGCAAGGGCATGCCATCCCTGGAACTGCTCACTTGTTTTTATTTATGATGTAACTTCAATAACGATGGCACCAGCAGAAATTTAGTCTGATGTTTACAGAAACATTTTATCTACGTATGCAAAAGAAAATGCTTCCATATTTATTGGGTGGTACTTACAACAATGACCCCAAACATATAGCCAATGCAACTGAAGAGTTCATCAAAGAGAAAAAAGAGTGTAAAATCTGCAGATTTAAATCCAGCTGAAAATGCATTTTACAAACTGAAAAAATGCGAGCTCAATCAGTTGTAGAACTCATGAAGTTATTGCCTGTGCAACCAAATACTCAGTTTTTAATACTGAAATTTACTTAATGTTTGTGTGTCCCAATGCTTATGGTCACTTGAAATTACTAGGTTGAACAGAAAGTATGTTTTTGTTCCAATAAGATTAAGGGTATGCATGGAATTACCCAAAACAAAATATATATTGTATTGTCTTTACCATTCATATTAATCTTATGATCACAAATATATTTGATTGTAAAGAAAAAATAATGGTTTTGAATTAACTGTCCCAATTAATTTGGAAGGCACTGTAAATGTTCCTTGCACTTCCAAGATTATGCCACGATTACACCTGAACATGTTAATTTCCCACATAATGAAAACATGGTTTCAGTATGTTTAAACAGAGGACCTTAAATAACTTTCTAAGTCGATAATTACAGCCAGATTCTCCGCTGTGGTGCAGCTATTTGGGGAAAAAAAGGAATTTCATATTAAGGGTTCCATTTACCAAAAATTCTTTAGCTGCCTCACATGATGTGTTTTTCTGTTTGAAAGAGAACATAATTATACCGCTTCCTTTGAAAACACTGAGTGCATAATTTTTAGCACATCCTGCATCTCCAGAGAGGCTGTTTATTTTTATTTCTGAAATGCCCCAAATGATTATTGAAGAGAATGTTCTGTGTTAACATTTAAGTCCGTAGTGGCCATATAGTATTACAAGACTTGCCTGACATGTTTTTACAGCTCATGGTTAGGTTTTTATGGCCTTACATAGTCATATAGCTCATGATCTTATTGTAACTTTTTTTCAGTGCTCCTTAGCTAGTACATTAAGCTTTACATAATATCACCAATAACATGATACAGAGTTAACCATAGTTTACTGTTATGTGTGCATATTAGGTTAGATGTGAGTTTAAAGAGATTAAATCAGTTACTTTAGACATGGTGTCAAATGTTGAAAGAAGGAAAAAGTCACATCCTGTGGGTAGTTCTTGGCAAAGAATGTCCTCACTGCTGAAACCCTTGTGAGTAAACACAGTAAATGGATCTCGCAGTATGGGCACTTAAATTATTTTTTGTAGCCCAGAGCGAGTTCACATCATGAACATCATCTTGTTTTTGGCTTGTTTCTCAGTGAACTGTTTGTCCATTTGCCAAAGGGGCAGTATTGCTGACGAGAAACAGAAAAAAAAATGAACAGCTTATCACCATGTTTTAAGAAATAAATAACAGCTGATAATTCCACCCTTTTCTTTCCAATCTTTCTTCCTTACCGTTTGTTTCCTTTTTCTCTTTGCCTGTCTGCCCTTCTCAATCTTTCTCATTCCTCTTTTTATTCTCTCTCTCATAAAGGAACATTTAATTGCAGATTTCCTGCTCCTGGCACTAGGCCTTTGACCAGCTGTATGAAATGTAGTTTTACTGCTGTCTTGCTGCCAGCTGCTGAGCTCAGTGAAAAATAACAAAAATTAAAATCTTGCAGACCCACTTGAACTCTTAAAAGCTTTTTTTTCCTTCAGAAAGGAAATAAGCCACTCTACCTAATTTGCAAAGAGATTATTTTTTTTTGACACAGTGTTGTTTTTTTCAGTGCAGTACAAGAGGAAAGGGGCTGTTACTTAGACATATCCAGAGTCAGGAATGTGGAAAGAATGATGTTTTTTTTTCTCATTTGGTTCTGTTCTATGACTTCTCACCTTGCTGAATGGGCCATTTCCAGTTTTGTTTAAACACTCTCGTAAGAAAAAAAGAGTCAAAAAGGCAACAAGGGGAATTTTGAAACTAAAAACACAGTGATGCAAATCTTACTCTGCAGGACTTAAGAAACAGAAATCGGGTCAAAAGGTAAAATTGTGCCATTTAATACAACTAAATGAAGGCAATCATAAAACCCGAGTAAATACTGTGAAGCTAGGCACAGGTTCTAAGAGACACACTTAGGTTCAGATTTTCTGATTTTGCAGGATTAGCTGTGAACAGGGTGAGTCTTTGTGCGCATTATTATGCTTTCATTATATAAACATTAAGTGAAACATTACAGTGGGAATCAGGTATTTGGCAGCTGTGTGCTATTTTGATTTGTCTGCATAGAAAGAGCGTTTACCAGTTTTAGCAGCTGTAACATGTTTAAACTCTTTTGGTAATGGGATCTGAAGATGAATGTTCCCTCTGGGCTCCTGCTTAGATTCATTACTGGACTGCTGCCAAATTGTAGCCATAGTTTTAATTCATGCTTCTCTGCGCCATGCCTGAGCATGCTCACTGAAGGCTGTTTTCTCTTAATGCTGTGCTAAGGTCTGGGGGTCTGATCTTGGTATTTGGGTAAATATTACAGAGGAATTATCTAGTTTCATGATGTCTTAAAAAATCATTAAATAAATCTAGTTTGTTTAGTGCGGTAGAATTTTTAATAACTCCTTTAAAAAAATTAATCTTGTGTTATTTATATTCTGACAGCATTACCTAACTCAGTGCTGCAAAATCTGTTTTGACTATGTCTCCTGTAGCAGAGTTAATATTTATAATTCTCCACGCTTTGAATTATTCCCACTGTGACTCATTAATCACACAAAGCACATTATAAAAACTTAAAACTGCTGGAGCAGAAACTGATTACAATGCAATATATGCCCTCCAATTACAAACTCTGTATCAGGTTTTCCCATCAAGAATGTGGAACAAAACAGATTAAATGCAAAATATCTCCAAAGTGTGTTTAATCAGGTTTGAAAAACATTACATAACGCTTAAAATATACAGTGCTCTCATTTCACATTATCCTTGTGAGACTGGCAACGCTGCACATTTCTGCACATTGCAAGGACCTTCAGAGAAGGGATTTGATTAGGATGTTGTCAGTGTGCGATGCAGGAAAGAGCTGTCCTTATATTAATCGGCAGCTATGACCAAAAAAGGCTTTTAATTGAGATCAAAAGTACTAACCCGTTCACGGTTGAGTGACACAAAGGCTTTTGTTGAATGTCATTTAAAATGTGCTACTTTATTATCTCTGTAACTAAATATTTTCCTGTTCCCTTACTTCACCTGGGACTAAATTGACCAGAAAGTGCCCTGTTCTTTGATTGTGTAATACTTGAAACGTACACTGACAGAAATACATTAGTATTAGTTTCTGTTATTGCAGACCTGAGGCTGAATAGCAATGGCCCAGTTTTTACCAGGTACTAGTATGTGGTATCCAGATCGAATTTGCATCACATTAAATGCTGCTTGGCTGTAAAGTGGGGGCAAAATATGCACTCCATTTTGGTCTAGACAAAAATTGGACTGTAACATGCTGTAATGTCTTGTCTGGAAACGGTTTTCTCTTGAAGGGCGAATTTTTCAATCGGATAAGTGCTTCTGTTCTCCTCTCTCTGTGGTGGTTGTGGAATTTCAGGGGCTTAACTCTTCACCTGTTGCGTTCTGCCTTTCCTCCCCTCCAGGCTCATCCTCCCGTATGAGAGACATATTAAAGGGGAAGAAGATAAGCCCCTGCCCCCCGTGAAACCCCGAAGACCGGAGAGCAGCTCTCAGGAGGGGGGCTGCAAAACAAAAGTCGCCACAGCAAAGCGTCTCAAAGGAGAACCCAACCAAAAGCCGAGAAATGAAAAGGATGTCTCTCAGCGAAACTTGGGGGTCAGTTACTCATGCTCACATTTATTTCATCCCAGCCCGGGGGCAGTTTCAGCTTTCTTTTTAAAAAAATACAATAAATGAGAGTATACTTTAGATGTGACCCTTTCTTTATTTAACAAATAAGCTGTCAAAGTCTTTCCAAAATAGCGCTGTCAGGAACAGCTGGTTTTAAAATAATTGTTTTAGCTTGAATAGATTTTTCTAACCACTCCACTACATCATGTTAAATATAATGGAAGACTGAATAATTTCTTTGCTTCGGCAACTCCAAACAATTTGCATATTTGTCTGGAGTAGTTTTTTTTTTTAGGCAGGAGTAAAACACGTTCTTTTTGCTTTTTTTGCATTATGGGTGTGGGTGCTATTAAGCTTCCCTCAGAGCAAGAGAAATTGCGCTGCCAAATTTATTATTATGAACAATATTTATTCCATACAGAACAGGACAAACTCGTGGTTACTGTGGAAGTGCTTTATATCAAATCTGATCAGCTATTATGTGGAAAGTGAAGTGATGCCATATGTTGGTCTTACATAAACCACATGCTATTTTTGTCCCAAAACCCAATAAATCCGGAGTGATTTTCAAATGTCTTTCCAGTTAAGTACAAATAGGAGGAAAAAAAACTCCTTAAAAGGAATACAAAAAGGGAATATTTTTTCACATATAAACAGAAATTGATTACAGGAAAGAAAATGCTTTTAAGTTTTATTCTAAAGTTTTATAGTATTGCATTAAGACTCGTTTCCAGAGCACCTCCAAAGCATATATTAATACTGCAGACGATAGGATGAGCGATAGGCAGAAACAAAGAAGCCCATTAAAAACTCCAAATTTTTTTCCTGTGCCATGCTTTGCTCATCTGTCTGGTATGTTCTGTAATTATAAAGACTCCTGAGATCATTGATTGTACATTGTAAAAAAGAAAATCCAATGCAGGGAGAGAAAACAAATCACAAAAGCCACCCGACAAAACTGAAGCTTTAAAAAAATCTTGTAAACCCATGTAATGAGTTTATATCTTTTAAAATACAACCTATGGGATCTCCAAAACTGATCCTGTATAGACGTACAGTACGTGGGTGTGTTTATGTTTGAAGTAGAGGCCTTTGCATGTAAATATTGGTGCAGGCTGTGACGTTCAAGTGACTATTCATTACCACTGGATTTAAGGCAGATGTCCCAAACTATAAATCCCGATCACATCTACAGCACCCAGTCATGACTCCTTGATGAGACTCTAATCTTGACAGTTGTCACAAGAAACTAAAAGGCTTCAAACAATGTGTTTCTGTGTGTTGCCATATAAAGACTACAAGCTTGAAAGGGGCTGTCACTCAGCAGTGCCATGAGTGGAGTTCTGCTGTGACCTCTGGGGTTAAAGTGCATTGTCTAAACAACAACCTGAATATCGGGATATGTGCACACAAGCATTATTACTATAGAAACATGCACAAAACAAGACCATTTCATTACCACATATACGCAACAACAAATACATAGTTATTTTGTAACTTTGCCTACTCTGACACAAATTTATTTTTTAATCTTCTTTTTTCAAAGAATTGACAGTGATGAGCTTGAATGATGTAACTGGTTGATGCTGTGCAACATCTGTTTGAGTTATTGTTGTCAATGTGAATAGATTAATGGGGAAAAAAATTGGCTTTTTAGATAAAAAAAATATTTCAGTGTCTTGTTTATATTAAAGACATATGATGTGTGGCTTTAATTTACAGAAAGAGTACTTATTATTTTCCAAGGATAAGCAGATGTCTGTCACATTTGCAGCCTTTGAGGGTTTTAAATTCTTGCTTATACTTTACAAAAAAAACATAACTAGACCGTGGAATTAATGTGTGTACCTTAGCAATGCAATATCCATCCTGGCTAGAAGTTGCACAACCAAATCATTTATTTAAAGCAGTCTTCTACTTTAAGGACGTGAAAGACACGTTTTTAGTGCCATGTCACAGATAAACTTGAGATTTACCGTTGCTGCATTTTACCTGACTGCCTTAGTCATCCGTCAGCCACTGTTGCCTTACATAACTTAGTTTTATTTTGCTATTCACTTTGATGTTTGCCATTTGTAAATAATGCACCCCACTTGTTCTGAATTAAATGATTTCACTCTCTGGGTTAAGTTTCAGTTAAGCACGTCCATTTTTTTAAATCTGACTGACGGATTATTTGCTTTAAACACGACGATCAAATACTTGTCTTTGCGTGAAGACTGTGCACACTAATGAAGTGAGCTTTCTGCAGAGGATAACAAAAGGCCATGTCTTGTTCCAGGTGCCTGACAGCAAAGAGGGGTTCCCAGAGATGGCCGACGTGAAGCCGGTGCATCAGCCGCAACAGCAGCACAGCCTGATGAAGGAGGAGGTGAAGGATGAAGAAGAGGAATTAGGGCTTAGTGCAGAAGAACAGAACCTCGAGCACAAGACCAAGGAAGACGCAGCAGGATGCAACACACTTCTGAACATGTCCGCGCCCTCTGAGAAGCCTCCGTCAGAAAGGGCCAGCAGCGACGCCGCCGTCCCTTCTCCTCCTACCGCTATCACAGTGGCCACACCAGAGCAGTGCGGACACGGACTCCTAGACAAACTAAGCAACGAACTGCAGGAGAAAGCTGCCAGTGGCTTCACAGTGGCCGCTCCCCAGTTGTTACACGTCTCCCACATGCAGGACCAAAGGCAGAAGTGCGTGCCGGAGTACAGTACGCCTTGTGTGGTAGGCAAAGTGGACCCATCCGTACACAAAGAAACTCCAAACCAAGTTGGCATGGTTTTGCCTACGTTGAAGCAGCAGCCTCCACAAGCCCCGACAGCTCCAGAGAACATCCCAGAACAAGATCTACCCGACAAGGAGGACTCGTGCATTAGTTACACACCTATTTTGTATCCAAGGGCTAATCCTGGAATAATGTCTCCCTTGGCCAAGAAGAAGTTGTTATCCCAAGTTAGTGGAACGGCCTTGCCCAACAACTATTCATTTGGCCCACCTCCACCATTAATTAAGAAGGGCATGAATAACAATGCTGACGATTTAGCGGCGTTACATAACTCACAGGTTTCCAGTGCAGAGACTATTGTGATCAGCAGACCTTCTGTAATCCAACACGCGCAGAGTTTCAAAATCCGAAATGCAGAGGAAAGGAAGCCTCTGGGTGAACCACTGAAGCACGACCTGTTGGGCAAGTGTGAAGCATTTCCTTGCGATCTTTCCAAGAGCCAGCAGAGCTCCGCGGGGGAGACCAGCACGGAGAGAACTGACGCTCACGACACCGTGGACAAAACCTCGGAGAAATGGACAGCTCCCCTCTCCCAGTTACCCCACTTTCTGACAGAGTTCTACTCCTCTCCTCACCTACACAGCCTTTACAGGCAGACAGAACACCACCTGAACAAGGAGCAGTTGTCCAAGTATCTGAACAGGGAAAGCCTCTTCTCCCGAGAACATGAAAATATTTCTTGTTTCACACCGACCCAACATTCGGATAACATTGGTCTGAGTTACTGTTCTCCCTTAAGTCAAAAAGAAAAACTGACCTCTGCTAAAATTTCTTCAGATGACCAACCGACGGACTTAAGTCTTCCTAAGTCCTCTGCTCACAAACTGCCTTCATCCAAGCCTTCACCGTGTGGTGTCCCTCAATCGGCAATGCAGCAGGACCGCAAATCCCCGCCGCTCTTTCAGGTAGCCGTTAGCCAAGCCTCCAGCCATGACTGCAACCCCAAAGCGTGCCGTGTGCCACCGATGACGATGTCAACCCCGAAAAAAGCCGCTGATCCTCCTCAGAGAGCTCCGGGCACGACCCAGAATGGCCGGGCGGAGGATGTCGTTGTGCACAAGATGGACGAGATAGCGCGGCCCATTCTGAGTGTGAAAAGCAGCCCACAGAACATTGGGGCTGCTAGGCCTCTGAAAAGGAATCTGGAGGAGCTGGAGACTGGAGCTCCGGAGAAAAAGATCAGGGCTGTGACCCCCATGCACGCAGTGAAGGAGACAACAGGCAAAGCGCACATGTCTGAACAGGACAGTGAAGGGGGCAAACCTGTAGAGTCTGCGCATGCTGTGCATGCCAATAGCTTCCTGGATAGCCATAAGCTTCCCTTGCATTCCCCCATTTTCCCGGGATTGTACCCTGGAGCCTTTGTATCTCAGGTACAGGACATGTGTGACAGCCTGGGCTCCCACATCCCCACAGGCTACTCTCATTCTCTGCAGTACTTGAAAAACCACGCTGTCATCTCTCCGCTCATGCCTCCCTTCGCCATTCATTCCTTCATGATGCAGAGACAGCTCCTCGCCTCCTCTCCAAACCCCCCTCAGATTTACAGGCACCTGACATCCACAGCCCCTGTAGGAACCTCCTATGGGGACCTCTTGCATCACAGCCTGTACCCCTTATCTGCTTTAAACCCTCAACCTGCATTCAGCCCCTCCCAGCTGTCCTCTGTTCACCCCAGCACCAAACTTTAATACAGAAGAGACGGTTTTGCTCACTGGACATCATTGATTTTGGGCAGAGCAGTGTAAGAATCTAGTATTTGTTCCCCCGTACACGTGGCTATGGTATTATATTTACAGACAGTAGATTAACTGAGATGCCTGAATCTGGGAACAATCACTTTTTTGCACCAGATTTTGCCACTTAATACAAAATTTGCACATTTCTTTGAAAACGGGCCGACAGCTGAGTCCTTTTCATTCCTGCCGCTTCAGTGTAGGTCTCATGTAGTGTTCATTTTCAAATGTGTCTAAAGGAGGCATGAGCAATAATGCCATGGAGCTTCTAGCCAGATGACAGGTGGGTATTATGGTAGTTATTGCTGGGTATCCAAAGGATAATAAAATGTTGTAAGACAAATCAATGCAATGTACAGTGCAATTATGATGGATTCTGGGTTTTCTTGTATCTGAGAACACTATGAACTATTGCAGAACACTGTTTAATCAACTGTATTTGAATCAAGGTTTACTGTCAGAAAAGTTTTAATATTATTCGTTATTGTGCATTTATTTTTATTTAATTGTAGAGTCCTAGCTGGGGGAGTTCATTTCAAGGAGACTTCTGTATGGGGGTGAGCATTGGTAGTGACTTCATGCTGTTCATGCTGTTGATTCCAATCACACTGACTGGAAGGTTGCTGTAGGAGTTCACCCAGATTCATAAGAAAACAAGCAGACAGGTTTTCTTTGCTGAAACAGTTTTAGCTGTGTCCTATACTACAGTATACTCTACCCTACTTGTAAGTAAGTTACATTACTCAGCTGATTTGAATTTACCACAATGCTGTAAAATACTTTTTGTGAATTATTGGACTAAGGTATTTGTATAAACTTTTAAGAGAACTATTCCAACATTTTATAATATTATAATATTCACTGGCTACTCAAATTCCTGACTGTTTAAAACTACAGGTTACTGTGTACTTGTGTCTGTGGGGAAAGCTTCAATGTCCAGGACTGCTTGGAAAACCAATACTTTTTTCCCCAGTTTTTCCAATATTTTAGAAATATGTATTCAGGAGCCACTGCTTAGTTATAGAATTCAATGGAAATTGTTTGTAAGGCTTTTAGGAACCTTCTTATGAGCACTTAACTAAGCACACAGATCGGAACCTTCACATTTTTAGAGCCATTTGAAGGAGGAGGTGGGGAGAATTTAAAGCAGATGTAATGGGGGAAAATACAGCTTGATGACAGCAATCAATGAAAAGATTATGTACCATAATGATACATAATGTTGTCTTCAAAAAGGGTGTAAGCAGTGACGAGTAATAGGGGCTTATGTCATTCTTTTTGCACAAAGGATTTTGGGAAAGAAGAAAAATGGTTCAAATACATGGTAAGATAAAAATCCAGTTTTGTCAGAAATAATCAATTTTAGTGTGTTAGTGATACTTAAATATTAGCTGAGAGAAATGTATTTGCTCCAAAATGTTTGGAGTAACACTCAAGGTTGCTATGTAACTTTTTTTTAAATAAGTAATAAAATATTTTATAAGCATTACAAGGCTGATGTCTGTCCAGTTTGCACTGCTTTTGCTGTGGGTTTCACATGACTTTAAAATCATTGTGTTACTTGGAGTTTGGTGCATACAGTTCTGACATATTCAACTGTGACTGTTCAATATGGAAAGAATTGTGTTCAATACATTTCTGCTTTGCAAGTATTTGTGCCTTTTGTACTTGGTTCTAAAGATCTGCTGTTTGGAAAAAGAAAAAAATTAAAAAAAAGTTGCAGAAAACATAGAGGTGGTCTAATTTTTATCTCTGTAGAGAACATTGTGGTTTATAAAAAGTATGTTTTAACACTGGGATTGATGAATAAAATCAGAGAGGTGTGCATTTCCCAGCCTGGAGTCTCATACTGTGCACACTCAAATCGGAAGAATTCATGACTGCTGGGGTCCTGTACTGGACCGCACGTTCAAAAAGCCCAGAGTGGGGCGCGTCTGGTCTAGTTTTACAATGATCATTATAAATATAATGACTAGTGGGAAATTCTAGACTTCTCCCCCTCCCACACCCTCCCCAAGTCGAATGTTTGTCATGAGCACTTAATGACCCCCCTCTTTCAGTGTGGGATTGTCTCACCGAGTGGTCTGTTGGTTTAAAAGGTTAGCTCATACTATTCAGGCTTTTGACACAAAATGTATTTCTTTGCTATCTGTTGTAAATAATGTTTACTTTTGTCAGTCATCTTTTCACTTTTTGTTATTATGTTGTACGGTGATTATTTGTATATAGTAAAAGTAGAACTGGTAACACTATAGTTCTGTTGTTGTTCTTAAGGTTACTGAGTGACCTTGTTATTAGTTTAAACACTACAGTTATGAATACTGAGCCAACTATACACACTCAGTTTTTTTGGTCTGTTTTTTTTGTTTCCAAATTGTACTTCTTGAAATGCTTTTGATACTATGTGCCGTTTAGTTTCCTGATCACACAGCTGGCAAAAAATATTTTGTACTTTATGATCCACTGTATATTTAATTAAAAATATTTTACTACCTACTTCGATGTGTTTTTACTCAGCAGTAGTATTCTGCCCTATTTGCTTTCTTAATCGTAATTACTGTTTATCGTATTTTTTTCCAACGGCAGAGAAACACTTCTTAATTAGAGCCATGTTTAAAATCATGCTGAACACACAGCCTCAACTAATGATTGTCCAGTATGCGCATTACTGTGAAACCACTCTACCATAATGAGCAATAAATAGTGCACTTTTATGTAGTAGCTACCTATGAGAACCACGTTGCTAATCTAGATTTAGTGGTTTGCAACCTTGAGTAACTGCTCCCTCTAGTGTTCGAATGCATTGTTTTGACGCACTTGTACAAGAAAAGATTGTCCCAGCAACTTTTTATCTGTCGTGATCATACCCGCTCATCTGAGGAAAAGTTAACGTAATTATCATATTCCCAGTTTTAAATATATATTAACAAGGACAACTGCTTATTTCTTCAAGAACTGTTTCCCCCTAAAGTCTGTTCAGAATTACATCCCATGATTTTATATGGACTGAGATGAGCTAAAGATCCAACTAAAACATTTTCACTTGCGTATTGTGTTGTGAAAGCTATTTTATTACTAATTTCAAGAAATGTGTTGCATTATATGCAGCTTGAGGTGTTAGTGGACATTTTTCCCCTTCCAGGGCTATTTTATTGCTCGAGGGCTGCTTACACAAGATGTGATGGTCATAGATTAGGAAGTGCACTGGTATAACAGAGAATGTGTTAAATACTGTAATTTGGGTGCAACTACAAACCTGAGACAGCCTTTTATCGTTTTATGCATGTCTTTTAATATCCGCTTAGGTTTCCTTGGTGAATTAAGTAAATACTCTGACTTCAAGATAACAATTCCTCAATTTCACTGCGTCATCGTTTGCTAAAAAATAATATTGGATGTTCTAATTTGAGTTTGTTCTCATTAAACTTGACTGACAATACTCAACCGGTATACGACCATGTACTTAACTACTGTACTAATGAGGTTTCCTAATAAATTCTCTTTGAATGTATGTAAAATGAATCGCTTGTTTCTGACATCTCATTTGTAATTACAGGACATGCATGGCATGTATCTAGCCCACTCTTTATGCCTGGAAACATTGATCTGTTTCCTGAAATTAAATGAAAAGATTGTAATGGATATACTGACCATCAAAAGAAATTTCACTTATACCTGCAAATAATTCAGAAAGAACTTTAAGTAAAAGGACTGACTCTTTTCTGTATTAGGTGCACTAATGTTTTAGTGAACGCATGCCAAAGATCAATTTAATTGTGCCAGATAGCATTTGTCAGCAATAGGATTGATCCACTAAGAATCTACTGTCAAGGTCACTCTCTTGACGCGTGGCCACCATCTGTGACACATGCTTTGTAGAAGCTTGCAGATGCTGTCTTGTCTTGTTGGAGTCTGCCCTGTTCCTAGTGTCGGGACAAGCCACACCCTTTCACTGGTCTCTGAGCCCAAGACGCCCCATTTCATCCCAGCTCATCCCACAGGCGTTTCCTTGTGACAAAGCTGGGGAGTAGAGACATCCATGGCATAACTCACAGTCCCACCCAGACATTATTCCACAACCTGCATGAGGATGTGTGCCGTGCTCTCCTGCTGGAAGGCTGGCATGTCAGGATGGTGCTACAGAGAGGGCAGCAAGTGAAGTCCCAGGATTTGATCAATCACTATAAGTGATATATGGAGGTGAGGCATACAGTGGCGCCTCTCTGTTTTAGTCTTTTCAAAAGGCTGGTCATTCGACAGCCTTTAAATCGCTTCTGCCGAATCTCAATAATGAGGTGACCTCATGTTTGTGCAATAGTTACAGTCACTCCAGTGTATCACGGTCAGTAAACACATAATCAGGACTCACAAATGGTTTACTTTGTTTTCTTTGAGTGCCCTTACATTACACATAGTATAAGCGTATATATCAATCGGAGAACATAATTTCTTTGGTACTCACCAAATTCCGAAACTGTCACTTTCTTAGTACTGACTTATTGCTAAGAGTGTGTTTACATGGAACACATGTCAAACATGTCTTCACCAGCAACTACAATCCCTTCGACCTCACGGGGGAGGGGCAAATGCGGAAGTGATGGCAGAGCCCTGACTCCGCCCACCCCCGAGCCACTTTAATCTGGAAACAGCGCCGATTGGAGAAGAGGCGCGTCTCTCAACGGCAAATGTCTACAGGCGCCCGGAACGTCGCAGGGGTCGTTGGCCGCCGACAGCCGAGAGAGCCCTGTCCGACTGATCCCGCTGCAGCCTCGGCCCCCCCTGTTTGGGGAAGGCCGCTCACAGTCAGCTAGTGCCTCGACGCAGGCTCGAACCTTCGATCACAAAACTCGGCCAGATCTCGGCCGAGCGACTGCACCGGTCGGGGGCTTCGAGAACCGTCGAAAGTATTTTTTTTGCTTAAATTAAGAATATAACGAAATTTAAAAAAAAACATCTCTGCACCTGCTGAGCAGCTGAAATCTTTGTAATTCCCATGGGAAGCGTTTTTGCTTTTAAAATGTCCACGTTCAACCATTTAATTTCAGGGATTTACCAGCAATTGTGAAGTACTTTTTAAGTAGTAGCATTTTTTTTCTTCTTATAATGAATAAGGGAGATCTGTCGGTTCAAGTGTGTTAATAACCGTTGTGATTATAAAGCATGCCACTGTCCTACAATGAGTTTCTACTCATGCTTCTTTAGTTAAAAATTAATACAGGATGTATACAAAATGGAAAAATGTGTATTTCAGCAAACAGAAGAGCAGACCTAGTCAGACAAACCTAGATCATGCGGTTAACCTGTGATCTGGTGGTTTCAAAATTAGGAGGTCACACTTATACTATGCATATTTCAAAAATCAAAGAGGAAGAGCTGTTTTTTTTACGTTATCATCACTTCTCGTAAGCATCCTTTGATCAAGTGCATAATTGGTGTGTATTTCCTTTAAAATATCACGTCCTATTGCCTGAGGCATTAATTTCTCCTAGAATTTGGTTCGATGTGTTTTTCCCTTTCCATTACCAAGAAAATGGTTTGCATTTTTAGAAGCTTTTCTTTGATTTTTCAGATGAGAAATATCACTGTAATTTGTCCTGACTTGAAATTTCATTTGTTTCTAACTATACTGGACTTCAAGTTAACGTGTTCTGTAACAACTATCCGCAAGCTTCACTTTCCTAATTTAAACAAAAATCGTTTTTCATTCATTAGACAATGTTCTTATCTGTCTCCACTTCCAAGACTGTAATAAAGCATATGAAGCTGCTTTAGATTCCGTTAAAACTATAATATTCCCTCTTGTAAAGCCCGAGAGAACACCGACGCACATAGAGCAGAAGAGCTACACGAAATCTAAAACTAAAATGGTTTTAACGGATTTGTAATCGTGCTCCGTTGGAATTTTTCCACTTGTCATTTCACTGTTTTGCGACAGGAACGTAATCTCATACAGAATCTCAAAATCTAGTGGAGATCTCTTCTCAAATTTGTATCACAATGTGTGTACTTTTACCGCTTCGAAGATGGAAGTGTTCTCATTCTATTTACCCATTCCTCCGCTTACTTAAGGACATACTGTAGCATGGGCAGCCGCGTCCTTTTGGAGTGCAAGCGTTTACCCGACTAAACCAGAAGAAAAAATACCCTCGACTTTCTCCGCTCCCTATCCAGGATACACAGAATGCCGCCATCTGCCGGTAACGTGCGGGTATGATTATTGGTCACATTCGCCTTGGAGCACTGGCGGCTCCGCTTAATCCAGAGCAACACTGAAGCGGTTACATGCAAAACAGCATAACACACTTTATTCACAGACTCTGATGTCATTCATTCAACGAGATTGGCTGGACTCGTTTACAACTCGCATTTATTATAAACCCATGCTGAATTTTTAATCTGAGTCTAACTGTCGTTACAATGTAACTATTCACTAGGATACAGAAAACTCATAAAATTCCAAGCAGGAGTCTTTGAGAGACTTCCAAATCAGTTTGAACCTTGTTTAAGAGTGTAGTGTTAGTTCTCAGCAATTATAGTTTATAAAAAATATTAATTTAAAAATTTCTACCACCCTTAGCTATTTCCTGTTTTTTTAATGTAACCATTCCAGCTTTCACAAGGGATATAATTATTAAAGCCAGCAAGTCCTGGCACAGCTTTCTCCCTGCCTCAAGACACATTTAATCAACAGCACATTGTTATTCTTGGAAGAGAAACCTCAGCAGAGTCCATTAAAAATAAACTCCTCTTTTAAACTTACCCCAACAATTGTTTTAGAACTTGAGATTTGCTTTGGCTGTTTATATTATTTAACAAAAATATTTCATAAACATTTCCAGGCAAGAGCCCAGTTTGCAGAATGAAATGCCTTCTAGGCCACTGAAATCTAGTTATTTGCTTCTCCAGAAAAACACATAATGCGATTGTACACATCTTGCCTTGTCCCCGATCAGCAAGCACACTGTATCTGGCCTTTGAACCTGGCCAATATCTTTGTAATATTACATAAAGGAAACTCATAGTAATAAAAAAAATCAGTTCATATATGAAATCAGTCTTTTAACCACTGGATAGCAAACCCAACCAGGTGAGATTAAAAGAGGAATATTCCCCTCACAAGAAGATCAGGTCTCTTCTGATCATCTACATAGCAACAAGCTTTCTGTATTCTTCCTTGTATGAAACCATCCTTTTAAGAGCAATGAATGAAAATGGAAAGCCATGTAAAAAGACAACCCCCTTTATTTCTGCATCCGATTTTGTTAAATGTGAACTTGAGGTGGACAAATCTAAACTAAAGTCTCAACCACTGAACCACACATGGATTTTAATTACTCAATCTCAGTTCAACATTGTGCATTGTTTCAACTTTTTGTTTTGTTTCTCTTACTGTGATTTAGGACTCTGGGAGGCTAACATGTTAGAACCAAGAGTTTTAATTATTTTATGATACCTCAAAGTGACAGACTAGCTGTTTTTTCAATAACTATACACCCAGCGTCACCAAATCTAGTATATACAATAGATGTATAATCAATATCTAGTTCTACTGTAGTAAAGACTATATTACAATTAAGGTAATGTAAACTATAAGAAGGGGTAAATGGAAATTGTGCTGTCATCCCTAAATGAGATGTTCACAATTTAAAATAGTTCATTAGCACCAATAAGAGTTTGTACACATACACATTGCTTAGTAGAGCCACTACAATTTTGTAAGGAAAATGAAAACTTAAATTGCCTAAAACAAGAATAAATAATTACTCTAATGTGAACAAAACCAAGATGAAAACAGAGGCGGGTTTTGTGTTTCATAGAGAACAAGCATGTTTTTAATCCTTTTCTTCAGTCACAGTAGGTCCGGCCTATAAACTGGTCATCAAGATAAACGATGATTAGTCTTGCTGAAAGCAGGCAGTCACTTTGCATGAACAGGCTCATTTGTAATGAAGGCATACTTTAAAGTATTTATCCTAGAGGACCACAGGAAAAACCATGAGATTGCACAGCCAGGAAAAACAATTCTATGGGAAGTAGCAGCTGTATAATGTAAAAAACAATTAAGCAGATTAATTACACCCAGGAAAAACTGAAATGAAAGGAAAATGAATTGCACACATTGCTTGTTAAAGAAATGTAAAACAAAATCACAGCTTCTTCTCTTTTGAGAGTTCCCTCCCCATCCCCATATCGTTTCCTCACATTTGTCCATTAAAAAGAAAAGATATTACCTAATTTAACTTATACTGTAACAATACAGAATAAGTCACAATAATATCTTCCGCAGTTAAGGTACAGGCTAAAGATATTAGTCTCAATGCATCAGTAAATCGCTAAAGAGACATCTTTATGTAGAAGTTCACAGCTGTTAGAACTATGATTTTTTAGGATGTGCAAATTTTAAATGCAATCTGAGAAGGTATACCAAAACTATACAAGCTACACAGATTAAAAAAAAAAACTTTGTACACAAACACATAAAAAGTAAATGACCACAACAGACATTCAATGTGACACAGACCAACTGTTTAAAAGATCTCCAGGGATCCTTCAAGGAACAGATGGATCAATGAGCTACTAACACCTAAATGATCGGTTTGATATGCTCTTATGTTTAAACTCTATGGAAATTCACATTTTGAAAGTTACAAAAAAAGTTTCTGTTGCAAGGGCCTCATCTCCTGTATGGTGGACTGATCAGAAAACCCGCGAGACCGCCACGCCAAACGGGTCACAAGGCACGAGACACGGCCACAGCGGCTCTAGGAGGCCACGCCGTCCAGAGCTGGGATCCGAGGTTTCGGCTTCATCTTCTCCTTGAGAGAGCTCAGTCTGGGGCGCGGGGCGGGGACCGGCCGGGCGGGTAACTCGGGGGGCCGGTTCTCCGCGCCCGTCCCCTCCTGGTGCCTGGGGGGCTTCTTGCGAGACGGCACCGAGGGCCTCTGCAGCTGCTGGATCACCGCGGAGAGCTTGCTGTCGAGGGAGGGCCTCCCCGCCCGCACCGCCGGCCTCCTCCAGGAGCCGGCCTCCTCCCGCGGAAGGGCGTGGCTCGCCGCGGGCCCAAGAGCCACAGCCTTGGCCGGAGGCGGGGGCGGGGCACGTCGTTTCTTCGCGGCCGCGGCACCTGGGCTTGGGGTCTCCGAGCCCCGGGCGGGGGACAGCACGCACTTCTGCACCACCATGGGGTGGGAGCCCTCGAAGAGTGAAGCCCAGCGAGGGGCGACGGGGTCTTCCTCTTGCCCGATGAGAAAGCGCCCTCCCGTCTCCTCGATTTTATGGTGGATAAGATCCGTCAAGCTTTCGAGCTTTGTCGGGGAATCAATACCTGTGTAAAGAAATGAACAATAAGAGGACTGTGATCTGCTGTGCTCGCAGTAGGCCAGCAGTAGTTACCCCAGTAATTTCAGCACACCTGCTTTAACAGGTCGTTTATTTTTGTGTAAATAGTTTTGCATGTGGTGAATTAATTAATTGGTTAATTGGTGAAGAGGATGAGTATTGCATTCTCACATGGGTTTAATCTAAAATAGTTCAGAACATAAAGGGATTCACAGTGGTAGTTGCTGCTGGGTTGTCAGCGTTTCTTTCACATGTGTATCTTGAGGAACTTTACTAAAATTTAATCTTTGTTTCCCACTGGTGTTTGTTCATGTGCTCAGGCTTCACAAGTCACCTGTGGAGGGGTAGGCCTGTCAGTTGTTTAATATTCCATGTAGCAGCAGGGCCCACTTTATCACCATCACAACCCACCTCACACGTCACAACGGTGCAAGCTTATGCACAGCCCTCCACACAGCAACACTGTTTATTTCATTTGTGAACACATTGTTATAAATTTTTAATATTCTTCCAAACCCGCCCACACATGCTGCCTTCCGGCTTGCTACCAAAGGAACCCTAGGATGGTTCTAAAGCTCCTCTAGAAGTACCATGTAATAAATATTTGACCACCTGAGCAGCAGAACTCAGAACTGTCACCACCTTTCCCCACAGGCGTCACGGATTAAAGCGGCAGTGACCTCCATATACAGGACATGTCAGGACAGGGCAGGACCCAGGGATACCAGGACAAGGAAAGCAGAGGATCCCAACATCTTATTAAACACAGCGGGACAATTGCAATGAACGTTCGGATTCATCACACAGCTGCGTACTACGTTGCAGAGTTGTTAATACAGTACTGGCGATCAACTCCAGCTCTCAGCTCAATTGCAATGAAAAAAAAAGTGTGGAATGAAGTTGGAGAATACTCGAATGTACTTAAAGCTCAGCAATGTTGTTGTTCTAATGAGCACAAACTGCAGGGGGCTCAGAATCGGAACATTTCAATTAACCTGGCCACATTAATACGTAATTATTACTTTGTCTCGTGTTTGTATAGAACTGAATGTCCCTGACAATTTAACATTAGTTTTTGATTGAAGAACTGCATTTATATTAAAATAGTCCAGATGCACTAATGCGATACTCAATAGCAACTTGTCACAAAACAGCAGCTGCTAAGCTCAATGCAATTGGTCTTAAGGTAGCCCTCTAGTTTAGCACTGAACTGTGTGCTACCCATGGAATGAACTCCAGTTAGTACACTGCTTTCAGTTCATTGTGACTGAGCCAGTGAGACTAACCAATCCGACCCGTTTCTGATACTATAAAGTGGCCAATACTGGAGTTATCATTTAGCGTGACAGCAAGGAATATCCTTGCTTAGAATCATAAAAGTGATTAAGACCTAAAAAAAAAGGAGTAAGACCTAATCCCGTTTGAACATTTCCAAAACAAAAAAGATGCCAATAGAGCTCTACTGACAGTGTCTACAGTCAATATTCATATGATCTTACTGTTCATTACTGCACTATTTATATACCACAGCAATGCAACCTATATGCCACATTTAGCAAATAACTGTCTGGGAAGTTTCCATTACAGTGCTTTCTTTTTTTATTTCATTATTCAAACATGTAGCTTCTTGATGTAAACGACATGCTTTGAGGTCTGTACTGCAACAAATGGTGAATGGATCGATGCGCCCTTAGCATCACTGCAAACTCAGCATCAAAAGTGTTTCTCAGGTACAGATTAGCAGTTTTTATGGACTAAAAATAAACACTCACTTAGATCATGGTAGACCGAGGTGGCCTGTTTTGTAAGGAACAAAGGGGGCCTTCTGGGAGACACGACCTCAATCTTCATGAGATCGCTGCAGCAGTGTTTCCATTGGCCTGAAAAGAAATTTGCAGTATATAATGACATATTATTCTCTGTTAGTTTAGCAAGGCATTGTTTGTCCTTATTACCACCGCTGGGATTCAATGGAAAATAGGTGTGTTAAGCTTCTTTGATGGAGATCACACTGGGATAACTGGAAGCAGCAGAACAAAACATGCTTTTCAGAGACCAGGTGTGCATTTTAGTCCACTGTGAAAACTTCAAGGCACATAGCAATCTGAAATATTGACTATTTTACAAAAAGCCTGCTCAAAAACCTGGAAAATGTTAAAAAAGTAGACAAGAAAACTTTAAGTTGACAACTTTTTGTAACCGATATCATAATCCTGGCCAACATTTTAGGACTATCTAAAAAAATATGAACCGCACATAAAGAGAAATGCCTTTAAATTCTACTGGTTTTCCTCACCATGTGCTTGAATGTTATTTTAAGGAAGCTGGGGTTGTAGAGAATTCACAACTTCTACGCCACGATTCCAAATGCCAGTTAAAATTCCACACTGGCAGCTGTACGGATCCAGTACTCTGATCTTTCTTTAACACTGATGAACTTCCTTTTGAAACCAATGCTCTTCCACACTGTACTTACTCAGATCATAAAAATGCTGCCAAAAACCCTCCATCCATTTTTGGAGCTCCTCTTTGCACTCGGCCACAAAGACATTAGTCACAGCTTCTCCGGCTCTAGGGTTGATAATTGTGAAACTATGGGATCTTTTCTTGGAGTCCTTATCTATTGCTCGTATCCTTGTTTCCTGTGTAACAGAGATCAAAGCATTATGTCACTTACCCCTGCTTTGAAGTCCAAAATTGTGCTTTTAACTCTTTATAATACACGATTTTACACTGTTTTGTCTTGCCCAGATATGCTTATTAGACCAGTCCTCAAGCCTCATTAACCTGGCGGTGAATGTAGTGACGTTAGTCACTTAGCAAGTTAGTGAAGCAGAGCCATCTTTTCCACAGAATACCAAAACACTTTGAATGAAACGCATTTTATATTTATGAAGAACTAACACTTGACCATTTATGGCTCATCATTAAATCAGACCTAAAAAATAACAAAGGAATGACAAAATATGCCTCAAGTCCTCTGACATTCAGTAGACAGACCTAGATTCAGAGGACGCGCTGATACACCATTCACTCATCAATTGCTCAGCTTTCTCCTCAGAGATATTCTTTGAATGTTTTATTTTTAAGAAGGAAAGCTCACAGCATATATGGAATATGTGGTAGGATGAACAATACACACTGCACCAGTTCAGTGTTACCTTGTTGATAGGAATGACAATGGCAGGATCCAATTTAGCTTCAATTTCCTCTGGGGTGTAGTAGCAGAGCAGCTGGCCTGCTCTAAGAACACAAAACAGTCTGCTGCACCTAGGGACGCCCACGATGTTTTGCTGAGGGAAAACAATTGATCAGTAAATGCTTTTACAAGGTACATGACACAGCGCAAAATACAAACTTATAACTCTATTTAAAGTGCCAATGGTGAATACATTCACAAACAGTTAATACTTCTCTGAACCTTTAAAAGAAGCATGCCTTGAAATTATGTATTGCGCAAGATAACACAACCCAACAAATTGCCAGCGCTGTAATCTCAGAGAGGTTTTGCCATCACTAAAACAACCCCTCCCAAAGGTTTCTAGCCCAAGACGCCTCTTATTGCTGACAGTCAGCAGAGTGCATCACACCCACTGGGAGGGAATGTATTTAAGAGAATTATTCTACAAAGCTGCAGAGGTTGGTTAACAGCTGTTGGCTTATGCTCTAAAGCATGGCACCCTTTATTCTGTTAAACCTCCTTATCTCCAGTTACCACTATCTGCCAGAAGACTGAAAAAGAAATGTCAAGTATCTGAAAAGGTTATTAAAATGGTAAGAGAGGGATGATGATGTACTGTACATGCCAGCACAAAAGACTAAAGGTTTTCAGTTGGTTGTCAACTTCGAAATGCTAAGAAATGACAGACCCACAAAAATTAGGACAGTCAAACAAAATAAAAGGCAGGAATTAAAAAAAGAGGATTCAAATCAAGGTCTTTTCTTCCATTTGTCATCATGTTTCCTGCTCCGTACACCAGTGCCTCTAAGGAGTAAAAACTAGCTGACAGCTGAATTAATCACTTGAGTGTGCTATTTATGGATTACCTGCTGATTCAAGAATCCACTCATCATATCCTGTGTCATGCACTCTGGTTGTGCCACCAACCGGCAGCACACGTTGCCATACAGAGGCAGCCAGAAGGAAGAGTCCTCTGAGGAAGAACAGACAGAAAGACATCCTCACTAAAGGTTCGCAATTCTTAAAGCAAATGTGCACTGAGAGCAGGGAAAACTTACCCTATTAAAACACGGCTTTTAAACCATAAGAAAATGCTTTTTGTATTCAGTACTCACACCAAACATTTCTAAATTGACATTCTCCTATGAAGAAAAACATCTCTCTTCCTTCAGAAGGTCTAAGGCTTTGTTCTAGCTAGTGTTTTAATGCAACAACCATGGGTCTTTTATGTCAGAAAATACTGTACATCACACTAGGTACATGCTGTCCTTTTTGGGGTATATTTCTGAAATTGTATCTGTAACAAAAGCCTCTCTCTTTGATATTGGTAAATCCATTTAACATTATTTGAGGAGAATGCATTACCAAAGCCAGTAAATAATTTAACAGCAGATAATACACCCAAGATTGCAATGTAAGCAATGAAATACTATCGCGGATCTATAACTCACCACGCTCTTAATGTCATGAAGAAATATCTGCCCCTTTGATAAAGATTTGGCAGCACTTCAGCATGCTATTCCATCCTAATTGGGGTTTGTAAGCTTTCCATATCAGATAAACGTGAGCACCAAATTCAGCCATGAAACCAGCTGTGGGCTCAGCTATGCTTTCTGGATGTATGATTTAATAGCTTAAAGGCCAATTAGGACTTTTCAATATTTTCTAGCCACATAATTAACTTTTTTTGGCAAATAATATCACCTTAGGAATGTTGTATAAAGCCAGAGAAGAGAGGGCTTATTTAGGCTCGGAATGACTTACCGTTTGGTGGTACGGTGAGCGTATGGGACTGGAAGCCCTCCTCAGCCTGTGCCAGGCCCAGTGTGGTATGAGCCAGCAGGCTATATTTTGCACCTCTAGGATGAAAAGAAGTATATTGTAACGCATACGGCCGCCATTGCAGGTTGTTCGAGCCGGCTTACCGACGCGGTGACGTCACCGCCCTTCCCTGTGAATAGCTGGTGGGAGATTTCTCTTTAGCTCAATTGGCTGGGTCCCTGTTGAGTGACGCCGGAGGTCCGGGTTCGAGTCCCCAGCGGTGGGGGGCTGACCCGAGGTGGCACTGGCGAGGGCGCATACTCCCGTGAACCCGAGAGCGTTACAATATGTTGCAGCACCCCTAGTGTACAGGTACTAGTGGTACTGTACCAGCAGTACTACTCTACAGGTATTATTGTTTTACAAGACAAATCATCTAATCATCTGTCTTCAGATGTCCCATATTTCTAATAAATAATGACATTGCAACTTGATCTTTTGGAAGAGCTTCCTCTTCATTTAGCAGGAATTAATTAGCAGACTTAGAAATGAAGAGCAACATTCATGACTTTAATATCTAAAGAGTGAAATTCAGAGAGCATTCACTTTTGTATTGAAAAGAGCGAAAGAAGTCTGCATAAAGTTTTCAGGCCAATGCTTCTGATATTTACTTAACTACAATTTTTAGTTTAAAAAAATCCAAAGTTTCTCTCGCAATCTTATTTGTGTTTTAAGTTGCAAAAAAAAACAACGGGGAAACATACAGAGCTTGGAGACTGGATTGAAAGAAAGACTCAGGATCTCCTCCCTCCTGAAGAGGGCAGTGTTTCTTTCCTGTGCTCTTGCTAAGTGAACTCCCCAGCTTCTTGGCTAGTTTTTTAGGAGTGTTGACCAAGGACGTCTCCTCCTCCATGGCACAGCTGTAGACCTCCAACTTCAACTCAAAGTCTGGAGATGCCTCTTTGCTGCAGGAGAATGAAGAATGAGCAGAAAAGTATATTACTCTTGAGTCTATGATACACAATGGGCTCATGGGGGTGTCGCTATTGAAAATGAGAAATGCCTTTTGGGTAACTCTGAATAATGGAAATCAGTCATATAACAAGATATGAAGGGATACACTTCTAACTTCATTTAAAACAAAAATGATTAAACAGTCACAAACTGTACCAGAGATGGACGCCGGCAATGGCAAATCGCTCTAGATACTTACAAAATAGTTAAACCGTCGAAACAGATGTCCGTCACAGATCGATCCACAATGACCATGTCAGTGTCAAAAACCTCTGCTCCCATCTTCATCAGGCAGAACACAGCCACACGGCGTGAGCCTGTAGTAGAAAAGAAGCACTGGGTTTGCACCTTGGCACTGACGTTGCTCTAAAGGTGTAGAGCTGTTTAATTATGGGGGACGGTGGCATGGTGGAGCTGTAGTAGGCACTGCTGTGTCGCAGTGCAGGGGCCCTGGGTTTAATTCCAGACCTTGAGTACTGTCTGCGTGGAGGTTGTTTCAAATCCCAGCTGAGAAACTGCTGAGGTACTTCACCCAGAATTGCTCCAGCCAAACATACAGCTATTTAAATGGGTTTATAAGCATAAGTCACATTGGATAAAAGCCTCCCCCAAATAAATAAATGTAAAATATAAGTTGCAAGTTGAGTCATATGCTTACATGTTCCTGTCATTAAGGTGCCTTGGTTGTTTTTACCTTTTATAGAGTACAACACCGACTACACTTGTCAGAAAGTTCATGTTTACTAGACACCAAAAGTGGCAGGAGTTTATTCAAGTTTACCTCACTATTTTTGCAGCAATTACCCATCTGAATTTTTGTGCATGGACGCAAACAAAAACTCACTTCCTCTGTTGTTGAAGTGGTCAGTATCCTTCCACATCAATGGTATCCGAAGACCTGAAGAGGAAAAAAGTTTTTTCGCCATTCTTTGAAAATGTGAACTCAGCCAAGTATCCGTTTAAGAGTTTTTACAAGGTTTTTTAAAGACAGCAGATTTAAACTACTGGCCCTGCATTGTGTAACCACATCCAAACAAAACCTGTTTTATTGGACACAGAAACTGCATTTACAGGTTAATGAAATCTCACTCAGGTTAGGTTAGATAGACCAAATATCCAGGATATTACTCCATCATTTACTCCATGCCATAACAAGGAAACTTGCTTCAGCTTGGAAGTTTATAATGTGTGGCTTTTACTTACCAGATATGGCCACTTTACCCTTACATGCTATGCGGTCCTTTGGAACACCATCAGATGATCTGTAGACCAAAAATATAAATTGTAACCTTTCAATTTTTTAACTTGGATCCAATAGCAGTTGATATTCATACCACAGCCATAAGGGGAATTAGGTAACTGACTTCTCAAATTAAAACCAAAAACTAAAAGCAGATATTGTGAAGCATCTTTACTAATAAGGACCATTCAAATAGGACATGCTGGCATTTCTAATGGTTATCACTGGAGGTCAGGTTCTAGGCAAAAGTAGACAAGATACAGGAGAAAGAAGTAGACAAGAAACTCGTCCTGCACAGAAGAGGCCAGAGAGCCTCACCTCCTAGCTGCATTTATCAGGATGTGCACCTCCCCCTTCTTCTGAAGCTCTGCCATGTAGGCTTCTATACGAGCGTTGCAGGTGAGCAGATTCTTGGAAGCACTTAAAACCTGGTCTCTCTGTGTGCTGGCGACAAGCAACTTGTAAGCCCCTTCGCGCATCCGGATCTCAAAATCGATTTTCTCTTGGAGGTCGCAGTCCTACGAGGAGAAACGGAAAACTGCGTGGTGAAACACCTTCTCGCGCCAGAGCGCGGCGGCACGCTGCTACACCGACTGCTCCAGGCATTCGGCCTAGAGGCCGCCCCTGACGTTAACCGCTAAAAGACACTCACGAGGTGGGCTGGGAATGAGAAGAGTGGGATGAGCCCCTATGTGGAAATGAATAACGATACATGACTGAAGGCAATTTTGTTTGTTTTTTTAAAAAAACAAAATGAAGAGTGCAGACGAAACACACCTGCGCCAACTTGCTTAAAATACAAATCTGGTGATTCCAAAGAGGAAAAAAAAAGAAAAGAAAATATAATTCACTTCCATCAGCAATTTTGCTGGAAAAAGATTCATCCAAATGGTTGGCTCTGAAAAATCAGATCTGCAATGAAGATGAATGTTAACAGACATCCCTAAAACTGTATATGTCTCACATTAAATACAAGACCTGGCTGGGGATAGGAACCTAATTAGGTGACAGAGTATGGCTTTTAAAGACGAAGCTAGGCATGTTCAGTGTTCCTTTAAGTTTACCTGCCTACTTTCAATCTCACGTCATATTCCAAGTTCTCTGCTCATTTCAGATTCCTCCGGCTGTCCCACCAATTACCTTCGTTCACAACCCCTTCTTTACTGACCTACAGTATCTACTTTGAATCCTGAAGTTCTTCATGAGAAGTAGCTTCGGAAAACCATGAGCAATTGAAAAGAGCTGAATTTAAAATCATGAGTCTTCTTTCAATTTATTTCATATAAAAAAAACCATACCATTTCCTTTCCATAACAGGAGAAAGCCAATACGCACAAAATTGCCTTTGAATTCTCTCTGATGGTGAAACAGGTGCAACCGTGACAAACTAACACAATAAAACTGAATCCACACAGTGGAAAAACGTATTTGATGATTCTTAAACAGAAAATGAGTTTGTGTGAATTTTCTTTTTACTGCCCCAGACAATTCACAGAATAATTTAAACTGGTCTTTTAAATGTACAGATCAGAATGGATCATGTAACATTTTTTTCTAAGGAAAACGATTGTTTGCATGTGGGAGGCAGGGCAGCAAAAAAAAAAAGATTGTTCTTACATAACTAGTAGTTTACAGGTATAAATCTGACACAAGAACACAAATTGCAAAACAAAATGATCACAAATTTAATCTCAAGTGTGGACACTTGAGAAATCAATTTTGACTTCCATTTTGATTGCATTTGAATATTTTGTTGTCATTTAAGTGTGCAATCTTAATGCCAATCCAGTGTTTTTGGCCTGCAGTGTTTTCACGAATTGTTTCAAAACAACCTACTACGGGCATCTGCCTGTTTCAAAAAATAGTCTTTTCAAACAGACAGGTATTGAAGTTTCTTCTCTGTCACATTAGTTGCTACCTTTAGTTTCTTAGAAATCTGTCGAATGTACAACAGGTTCATGTCGTGTATAATCTGAAGAGTGTCATTCAGGCTCGTACATCTTTTCGTGTATTTTGCCTGTAAAGAACATTATAGTTTAAAGCAGTGAAAGAAATATCAATCTGTAAAAATCGCAAAGGCAGAATAAACTATACACAAAATACACGTAATGAATTTATCCGTCTTTTTTTGTAATTCGCAGTTATCATTTGTTTTACAGGGTATGCAAACATATGCTGGCATTTATGAAAGCATAAATAACGTAACATTTCAGAAATGTCAAAGCAAACTTAAAGCGATTGATTTGATGGACATTGTAGCGTGCATCCATCTCCTACCAAACCCGAATTAACGTGCAACATTCTGCTCTGACACAAAAAGCTTTTGTTCATTTAAAAATCGCACTTAATTTGCATATGAATGGATAGTCCTGGCAGTTCAGGGTTTTGTCATTTTTGACTCAACATCTTGAATCACCTGTAAATGACTAGCAAATAAGGAGATTCAAGGCTCAGGATCTCTCCAAGTGTATATATTCTTTAATTAACGACAGCAATCAACCTTTAGTTGCAAGGCTCATCAAAATGTGTATATTATTTGCAGTTCGCAGAGTGGGAACGTATCAGATTTAAGTAACTCCGTTGAAGTCCTTACCTCCTGCTGTAGAATGACTGTGCTCTCCTTGATTTTCTTTCTTTTGATCTCCATTCCGAGTGAAGAACAGGAGGACACTGTAACCCTCGTCCTTTCGTTTCTCTTGAAATTTTGAATATCCCGCCGCTGATCCATTTTTGCTATTCGCCAGCGGCGCCTTGACGAAAACAGCTTCAGGTTTGAGAGAAACACTATAACCACAGTCCTGGGTCAAAGTTCGGCACCGAGCAAACAACAATAAGACTGAACCATCTATTCAAATTTAAAAATATATAATTTTACAACCGACAAATCATATCTGTCTCATTCTCAAAAACTGCGATTAAAATGGGCAGGTACAAATGGGAAGGTTTGTGTGGAGGGTTTTTGGAAGTTCTGCAGGTTTGCAGTCATAATTGCGAGATTTGTATTCGCCTGCTCCCCCGTCTGCTGAGAAATGGTTTCGTTCCATTGTCCGTGCCTTCTGTCTGTGTTTTCAATCCGCAATGGAAGGAAGCGTGTAAGTGAAAGCATTAAGGTGTATATTTGTCCGTGACAACCTAATCTTCAGGCGCTGTAATGTGAATATATCGGAGCTCTACACGTTTTGATAGTTCGTCGTTTTTTTTT